CGCGACTCCATCGTGTTATCCAGCAATTGTTTTCCCTGACTCGCATCCATAGGTGATTGAGGACGTGTTGGCGCCTTGCCAAACCCAGTCCGCTGGCACGCTCCCACCATCCGCAGCGAAAAAGACTGCACACTCGTCAAATAAAGAGATAGGTGCAAAATATTTTAGGTGGATTACTGTGTGGCATATGTTGGATCCGCAACGGATCAGTGCTCACCAGAGAACCCGGTTCGGTTCGGAGAGATTAATGCAACAACTACGGAAAATGTACATTACTCCTTTATTGATATTCACGTTCAATTATTAGGAGGCGCTCATAGCGGAGTGGATGCTGTTCGACTTAAGGGGGGCAGGGGAGGGGCATTTGGCCAGTTCCATCGATTTTATCATATTTGCGATTCGAGATGTATGACACTGCTTCCTATTCACGGCGAGCGCAATGACGTACAAAGTATGATGATACGCAGCCATGCTAGAGTGGTCTTGCACACAGCGTTCCCACCAGTGGCCGTATGCTATATCTCCCCCATAGGGGAGATAACCCCTTATAAACCTTCGCTCTCTGCCGTTATCTCTACTAATGCCCCTCGTCTCTCTGGCTCTCACCGCTCTGCATCCATACTCTTTTGGCGCATGCTCTGTGCGAATATAGTGCAGCGCAGAGTATAATCGATATGCTCCCCTCTCCCCCAGCGAATGTCGTTGGGGGAGATTTCGCGAGAGTGGGGGAGACATAGGAGCAGAGAGGCAGAAATAGATAGACGGAGGCATTGATGGATATAACAGCTATCATAAGAGTGCTGAGTTGTGGGCAAACGTCGGACCACGGACGGGATTGCGAACCCTTATCTTCTGCTTACTGGGCAGTTTGTTCCCTACAACGCTACCGAGGCTACCTTTGTCCTCTCAGCTCAATGGCTATTTAGGACAAAAGTGGCCCCGGTAGCGTAATAGGGAACGCAGCTGCCCTGTAAGCGAAGATGCGGGTTCGAATTCTTTCTTTCACGAATTTCTCTAGTTGAACGTGCGGCCGAAGTGTTGCCGTCGCGAAGTCTGAACGCCGCCTAACTGTAGCTGGGACCAATTCACCTTAAAACAACGGCAGATCGACTTGCGAAGCTTGATCCACGTATTCAAGGCGTGGATTGGCAACTATTCAAGGACATGCGGTTGCGACCGCTCTCGCAAGTGGAAGCGTGGGCTTCTCGGTACTTGAACTTGAGCTGAGGCTGGTTCGAAGTATTACTTCGGTACTTTAGGCGGTATTGATCTTGACCCTTTGACAAATTCCTCAATTATGCCATGCGGTTTTGCAAATGAGTGCATCTAGTGCTCCACCACTAGAGTTCACGCAGAACACGCTCAGTTAGTGACGTAACCATCTAAGAAAGTCTCACGTAAACCAACTGCTTTCAAGCTTGCTAAGAAATGTGGTGTGTGGCGGTTTACTGGCCTCAGCTTAATGTCGGAATATACTTTCATTGCGGCATGTTTCTGTAATACAGATGAGTGCAACACTCAAATGTTTGCAAAGGTACGTTCCCGCATTTTTCACATTTTGCTACCTTCTTCCATTACAATAGCAGTGTTAGTTAGTGGTAATTATGCCAATTAGTAAACCTACACCTCTTGTAATTGTTGCTTCCAGAATGCCGCTCAATTGGCACTGCTCGATATATACGGCACTTGGGCATACAGTAACGTCACAAAAGAACTATCCATTGTGACCTCGTCAGACGTAAAACACACTATGATGAAGTGCTTAAAGGACGCCACTCTTAGGCGTCCGCTTGCTCGACCTTTCGCTTTACATCGGAGCTTGTGAGTAAACGTAGAGCTTAATTGCAAAGAAAGCGGCGCTATGGTTTGGGGTGGGGGGTGGTTGGAGAAGCTAGAATGCGAGATTAGTCGAGCCCACCTTTTGGTCGCGTACTGGGCAGGTCTACGAACAACTCAGAACTCTAGTTGGTACTGTCCCGTTTACATGGCGTTTAATGACAACTGCAACCAGGGCACGTCACGTTAAAGACACAACGCACGCTCAGCACCGAAGTACGTCCTTGCCATGTCTGAAGCTGACGGCCCTCCAGAAGCGGTTTCCCTTCATGCGCGGGGATGAGGATCCAAGACAGTGCGATAGGCTAATTCCTCCATGCTCCGCCTAAAAAGCAACTTGCGGCGCAGACATGTTGCACGGGCCTACGGACAACTAAAAGCTTAGTCCCTTTAATGGCGCCAACTTTCTGTTTTTCTCTGCGCCCTCACGTCTTCATGCGTTCTGTGACCGCTCTGACCTTTTATTTTCCAACTTTGCACGCATAGTAAGTGGCTCCCCGATGTTGTCCGTCCTTGGAGAAAACCATCTCCTGGCTCACGATATGTATTTTGTACCCCTCAATACCTTGGCGGCCGCAGTTCTTTGTTTCTCTGCGCTCTAACTTTTCGTAGCACCAAAAATTTTAGTTGTCACGAAAATTGTACTCCACTACCATATCCTGGTCGCTTTTAGTGACCGGCCGTCCACACAATGCGTGCCGCGGCGCGACGCTCTGGCACTTTGCCAAGTCTTGTAGTTTGCGCTTTCGAATAGATTAAAACGCAAACTCTTGATGCGGATGTCAGTTGAGGCGTTGCTCATGCTCATAATTCTGAATCAGGTGATGACGAAGGCTCCAGGCGTATCTACGCCGCAAGTAGGTGGAGCATTGAGGAATAAACTTACCCCACAGTCCTGGATCCTCATCCGAGGTATGTTTGGATGAGGAAACCGCTACGCTTCACAGCTACGGGCCCGTTAGGACAGGTGCCAAGACGCACCTCGCGGCTGAGCGTGCGTTGTGTCTTCAAGGGAACACCCGAAAAAAGGAGGGGGGGGGGTCCTGTTTGGCTTGGTGAGGGTTGTCTGACTCTTCCCAAGAATTTAGGGTATAGCCCATTTTCGCGCGCACTATACCCCAAAAGACGGCAAATTCTTGCGAAATCTAGTCGACTTGGTCTATCCTCAGGACAAGCTGCATACCCCAACAATCCAACAGCACTAAGTGAAAGAAATTGTTGCTCATTTGCAAGGGCTTCGAATCCTTGCCATTGTACTGCCTTTCAGCATGACCGAATATTTACTGGTCAGTGTCATCCTTATTGCTTCGTCCATTTGTTGTTTGCTGGCATGCTGCATCGCTTATAGGAAAAGAAAGGTAGGAGTTGTGTTCATAGAAGAAGAGAGGATTAGGATGAGTCCATGGGGGAGTGGCATAGTCCTTAGGAGCTATTAAAAGAGCAGGCGCTTCAACAAAGAGCAGCACGAGTTCTCAGAAACGTGCAAATGAGTTTCCTACAGCAGAGATCGCTGGACGAACTGCAATTGTATGGTCGGAAAAAGGGAGCTGTTCTGCCTTCCCACTAGTGCACTGCTGATTCTGCGCCAAAGAGCTCAACGAAGCTACAATGGTTGAACTGGCCCCGCCCGAGACTCCTCCCATGCGATCATCATGGATCGTACCTTTATTTGTGTGGATGGAATTTGGCTTCTCTTGTTGTAGGAAGAACGCTGTGAGCACTAGATATCTTTGGAATTGCTGTCAAAAAATTCAGTCTATTCAGACACCTCCAAGAGAAGCTGAACCAACTCCAAGTCCAGCACCGCAGGTGGAATTCGAAGCGAGCGTGCTTGATGAAGAGCTGCTGTCACATGCAGTAGAACGATTACAACGAGCTACTACACGGTTGGATAGTGACGATTCTCCTAAAAAGAAGGCGCCGGTGCATGAACAAGCGTCGAAAGCTTCTAGAGACAAAGCAGCCATTGGAGCCCCAGAAACATCAGGGGAAAGCTTGGGTGATAATACCTCGTCAGAAGCCTCCGAAACACCGAAATCTGCGAAGCAGTCAAGTCCTGTGAAGGGCAGGAGGCCTACGAATTTATGTGATCAGCCGCCTAAAGTTGCGAAAAGTTTCATCGTCATAGACTAATTTCTGTACAATTAATAAAAATTTTGTTGTTCACTCGTACATAAACTGCGGAATTTGTTAGATATGCACGGGGGTCGCTGCATCAGCGCTGCGAATGCAGATGTCGCAGCGATGGTGTGTCAGGAGACAGGACAAAGGCTAGCGCCACACAGCGTTCTCATAAATTATAACTTCCTCAACCCATAACCGCCTGCAGTCAGTAAAGTTTGAGAGCAGTCGCTATTGACAGTAGGCCTCATTTCCTTTGAAGAACTGCTCTGCTTTCCTTAATGTGTGCTTCCCATACATCCTGCGCATCGCAATGCTGTTAAGCACTCACTTCGATTTCTCTCGTTTCCTTCTGATAGAGTAGTTTAGCAATCAGTGGCCACGGGCCATCAGAGAGTTCCCTGCAATTGTAGGGTGTTGGAATGGAATCGCGGGGCGGTGTCCGTCCTACGTATTCCGCGGTTTCGTGAACAGCCGTGGGTGCTATATAACTGTCACTGGATAGTTTCAATTACATAACAGATCACTCTTCGTAGCTAACCTTTTATCAAACAATATATGTACAAATTCCTGGATGGCGAAGCCAACCAGAGCATAAAAATGAGCCAGAATCTACGCCACTAGATTCATACACTCAACAAGCGAAAGGAAAGGGTATTAACACACAATCTCCTGCCATCCTTTAGGATGTTGCGACAAGCTTGTGCACCAAGGACGTCCAACCATCCTCTACCTTTTGCCAAACCAAAAGGAACGACCACTGCGCTGAACCACGCCTAGGCCAACGTGCATCTGTAGCCGTATCGTACGCACTACTGCACCACTGCTTTCCACAGAGGGAAAGGTCCATTCAAGAGTTGAGAGAATGAAGTTCGCATCGTCGCGACACTTCCCTTGAGCCAGGGGGAGCCCTCTACCACGTAGAGTCCATCACCAAGTCGTCCGCGACGACGTTGGGAAACTCCCCTCCCGATTCCGGGAGAGACCGATCTGCTCACCTTCCGTGAGCTCGGCAAAACTCCAGACTGACTGATCAGCTCGATCAGCCAACGGATCGACAGTAGATGGGGGCGTGGCCACAGTGTATGGTCTCGTGAGAGAACCACAAGTACCTAAGGATACACCTAGGGATATCACCAGATGCATCCACTTTTACGACCTGTCCTTAGGTACTTACATCATTGCCACGGCCCCATCTCAATCCGAGATGTTACACATAAGTTATCCGAACTTTAAAAGATTGAAACAGTTTCCAATTACCCATATATAACAAGGGCGCTGGACCTTACGCTGGCCTCACTACGCTGTACGGCGCTCTGCGCGGTCGCAGTGCGAGCTTTTCCTTTTACGTCCGTCACACTCATGGTAATGGGGTAGTTTGAGACCTCAGGTCCCAAAAACTGTCTCGATGATGAGCAAAAATTGACTATATTGCGCTCTACCGCTAATCTCCGAGCAGGGTACAGCATCGTGATGTGTGAAAAGGTGGTGTCAGTAAGCAAAGTGTCGCTGCAAAAAGTGCACGCCGTACCTTGGAAATTCAGCGCAAGGAAAATGGAGGAGTCGCAATTGGTTCACCAGCAATTTTTTTGCGACTTTTCCACCGTTTTTGTTTTTCCGCGATTCACCAGTGAAGACCTCCTCCTGACCAGGACGAGTTAAGTCTGCAACGCCCCTGTTACCGATAGGTGCTATTGCTCAACCACCCGCGATTCCTCTCCCCTTGAAAGCCCCTTCGCTGGCTCACCACATGCTCATCCGTACCACTCAATGCTTTGACATTGACGTTATTCCCTATTAGTTTGCGCTATCCCTATGCGCCTCTGGTCGTCTGAGTTCTAAGCTTGAGCTCTGGTTAGAGGAACGGGCGCAGAGGCGTTGCCTTATGGCCTTGCTCAACTCTGTTACCAGGAATTGATACAGGATACAGATCTCTCGAAATTCTCCCATCTGTTATCTGACCAATGACCTGAATAAAGCCCCAGGATTGGACCTGTATTACAAAAGACGAGAGGCTGTGGTGCAGATCAGAGACACTCTTTGGGTGCGCAGGATGTTATTGCCGCATTATTCCCGCCGGCGTCCTACTGACGCCCAGTCTCCGCTGATCAGCGACGCCGTTTTAATCGATGCGGGGGCGGGCGGCAGGGGTGTGATCGTGTAGATCAACTAAAAATCAATTTTCTGTCCGCTGATGGTGTTCGACAGTCATGCGCTGCATATTTATTGATCACGATCACGACAAGAACAGAATCACATTGCTTCACGGAGTAATCGATTAAATGATTGCGCAACTAATGCAGCCTGATGAGCTGCTGCGCCTAGGCTTTTGCCAATTAGCGTCCATATTGTGATATGGCATGACCGGTTCCTCCGGTATAGCCTCCTGTTCCGGCAGAATACGCGGGCGCGGGGGCGTTCGCATTCGATGATGTATGGGCGGCTGGCGATCCGACCACTTGCTAAAACAGTAATTGTCATTTTGCAAGGTAGATCAATGAATGGTAATGTAATGCACAAACCTTCTTCCCTTCTCTGTCTGGGCAGGGGCAGTACGTAGCATCGGCTCCAACCTGTCCTGGGAGCCCTTGGGTACCTTCCTCTCCGGGGCGACCACCAGCTCCTTGGAATCCAGGTGTTCCATCTGGTCCGGGTGGTCCCGGCTGCCCAACAGGGCCTTCTTTGCCTGGTTCTCCAGTCTCTCCTGGTTCGCCGCTCTCACCCGTATTTCCGCGCGGTCCCTTACGTGGGATGATTTGCTCGTAGTCTTGGCCCTGAAATTGTTTTATGAATTAATTCACTGAGGTTTAAATTTCGTTCTGAATGCCAACAAAGACATGCCTTCTCTCCATTCTCTCCTGGCGGCCCATCTGCACCAGGCGGTCCGGGAGGTCCCATTTCTCCTGGGCTTCCTGGGTTTCCGTCGCTGCCAGGCGTTCCCGGCGTACCTCTTTGGCCGCGCATTCCGCGGACGCCCTACAGACAAAAATATTGCCCTGAAAACTACTGGGGAGATAACTGTTTGACTCACCGGTTTACCGCGTTCACCCACGGCTCCCGGTTTGCCCGTTGGGCATATGATGCAGCCAATGAATGGCGCGTTCTGCCAGTCGTCAGCGTCCTCACCCTGCAAAGAATCACAGTAATCTACACACATACGGTCAGAAAAAGCGATGCTGACGTACCGGGAACCCATCTATGCCGTCGTGGCCAGGCACACCATCCGGTCCTTGGACACCTGGTGGTCCAGCTGGTCCAGGAGGACAACCACCAGTGCCAAGGTCGTCGTCGTAACCGGCGTATGCGTTATTGTTACGACAGCCAGCGCTTCCACCGTTTTCACCGCTACCTCCACTGCCGTCAGGACCACAATCTGCAGCTCCGCTTCCACCGCTTCCACCGCTACCACCGCTTCCGCCGCTACCACCAGTTCCACCAGTTCCACCGGTTCCACCAGTTCCACCGGTTCCACCAGTTCCACCAGTTCCACCGATTCCACCAGTTCCACCGGTTCCACCGAAAGCTCCACTGCCACCTCTTCCAGGGCTTCCGGCTCTGCTAGCAGGGCTTTGGAAGCAGGCTGAAAAATGATATTGTGTCTGGTATTCGAAGCTCTAAAAAAGGAATGAAAAGCAAGAATGGGTACTATGATGTCCCTTCCGGAAAGATATACTATTCACTGGACATTGATGTGAAAGCGATGGCGATAAACTGCCTGCGAAGTTAAACCCTTATCCAACTCAGAGCTTATAGAAGTTGTAATCTCCCTTCGGAGCAAATTTCTGGCAAATTACTCGTTTTGCTTGCAGAAAGACCAAGTTTCAGAAATGTTTGCCTTGGAGGCACATTCCGCGCTCATCGGAGGTTCGAAGTGCGGAAATAATATGCATTCCTAGCAGATGCATCGCTATTATTTGCCGTCAAGTACAAGGTGACCACGAAGTGACCACAAGCAATCGACATGAAAGCGGCTTTATCAATTTCTGAACCTTTCAAATCGCCGCCAGCGCCTTTTCCATGCGCTTTTGGAGATTCCGCCCCTGAGGTAATCACGGAATGTGCCGTTAAGTGCGTTTCGAATTGGTATTGTTCGATCATGGAACCAGGACTAGTTAGGGTAGAGGTGAGCTGGGCTACGCGAAGAGTGAAAGTACACGAGACCCCAGGATCATTGCATGCAATGAGGACAAGGCCATAGGGGTGTTATAAGCTCCCTGTACCATAATAGCAAGTAGCTGGATTAAAAGCGAAAGACTACCAACGAAATTTGAAAGAAAGAACTGAAGTGTGTCGAGCATTCGCGATTTCGTCACTGCCAATGTTTACTGTTGGCGGTATGTGTTTCTCTTTGTAAAACAATACCGATACTGCAGCCACCTTTACCCGCAGACCTATTTGCCGACATGGGCGGACACTCGTCACACACCACCGTGGCAAAAGTCGCATCGTCATATAAAATGGGCTGGAATTCGCGGATTGGGGTTTAATTGTAGATTTGTAGATGATATTGACTTGACTGTTAATGAAAGAGAAGAGACACCGTCGAACGGAATT